TGAATTGATAAACTGCGTGCGCATCCTAACCCAAAAAGACGGAGTAAGTTAGACGATCGAACTAAACAGCCGGACGGAACAGCCGGACGGAGTAGCCGAACTAAACGACCCAATGAAATAATTGGACGATAGGGACGGTCGAAATAACCGAACGGAACGATTTAGCTGATACGAACGAAACAGACGAAACATACGAACGGTGCTCGAACGGTGAACGATCGCTTTCCAGACGCTAGACTACCGCTAACCGCACGCAAGCCGCACGCAGAACGAACTGAACCTAGGTGGATACTTGGGCGTAATTCTAACTGTAGCTCTTCATCCCAGCATATTACTGCCCAAATATCATCACCCTAGGCCTCTTGATTATTCAGAAAAAGTTGTTGAAAGGTTTTTAACATATTTGACCCCTGTGACCTTGAATATAAGTCAAGGCCATTTATTTTAACAAACTTGGTAGCCCTTCATCCCAGCATGTTACTGGCCAAATATCATCACCCTAGGACTCTCGGTTATTCAGAAAAAGTTGTTTAAAAGATTTTAACATATTTGACCCCTGTGACCTTGAACATAAGGCAAGGTCATTTATTTGAACAAACTTGGAAGCCCTTCATCCAAGCATGTTACTGGCCAAATACCATCATCCTAGGCCTCTTGGTTATTCAGAAGAAGTTGTTTAAAGTAAAAAGTTGACGCCGGACGGTCGCCGCACCATGCCATAAGCTCACTTGGCCCTTTGGGCCCCCTGTCCCCCCTAGTACCTGTTCCTCCTCGACCTCCACAGTGTAATTGACCCCTTGTTCCTGTATGGAGTTGGCAGGTTGTAGTTCACAGTTTTTGTATCCACAATGATCGCAACTGAAGGAAGACAATATCACTTCACGGAAAAATGGAATCCTTGTCAGGAAAAGTCGAGTCATTCCCTAAAAGACATAAATTCAGTACATGAAGTATGTTTGTGACACAATATTGATATATTGTAACAAGCAAGGCAAAAAACTCAAACATGGTATTTTAGTTTGCACTTCCAGCCTTGATTCCGATTTATTTATTTAACTTAAAGTAAAAGTAATAGTTTCAGCAGTAATCCTACAGGGTTATTTTAATGATCATCTTGGGCAAAACTCAGCATAATTCCCAATGAAAACAGTGGGGGTTTTCTCCAAAATGAATAAAAATTTAAAGAAATTGGTTCAGGTTGCTCTCAAAAACATTGTGCACAGCGTCTTTCATTCAAAGGATATAAAGTAATGTAAACGAAGTGTGTTTCAGGCTTGATATCAAGTACATGTATTGTAAATAGGGTATTTTAGTGTTTAGGTAATTTGTGAAAAATCTTTACAATCATCAATATATATATCTATGTACTGTAAAGCGCTTTAGAGTGGCTTATTCTAGCTATAGGGCGCTATATCAAATGTTGTATATTATTATTATAAAATTTCCAATTAAGGTTACTGTGACAATATTTTCAAAATACCAAAATCAAATGTCTAATTCTCAAAGTAATGCAAGGAAAAAAGGTAAATGTTAGTTTATCATGCTTCACTAAATATCAAGTCATTGTTTTCTTCATGTTACGAATTATTTTGCAGATACTGCTTCTTTGTGAATTCCTATTATTATTGTATACAGTATTATGTAAATCCTTATCCTGAAAACAAATACCCCAACAAAATATACACACCTCAAAAAACATCTGTTCTGACTTTTCCTGTCTACCCGAATTATTCTTAGATGATTTCAAAAAAGCATAGTTTGAATCTGAGCTGCTGATTCCCACGTAATAATTCTTGAAAAAACATATTGTAAAATGTTTTGCAAAAACCAGTAATTTTTCGGAGCCAAAAGTGGCAACACGTCAACTACCAGTTATTCTGTTATAATGTTAAAGATTAAAGGCAATGTATATATATTTATACAGCAAAGTCATTTTTTTCTAATTAAGACCAGACAAAAAACATGTGTTTCTTGTAACATGTTGGAAAAATTAAGGGTAGGAAGGTAGGTAGCTTTAACCTGACTTTAACAGTGCTTCTTTGAAAATTGTCTCCAAAAGTTTAGGGTAGCCACAAAGAATTAGGGTAGGCAGGGTTACCGGAAACATAGAATAATTTTTGTTTGGCCTAAATGGATTAAATCAAGGTCTTACATCTTTCTTACACTGGAGACACAAACTCTCTATCTCGGTGATGTCAGGATCTTCCTCGTCTGCAGTCAGGTCTCGGAAAATGGGTTTGTTTTCACTTTGTTCAGTGTTCTCTGCCATCGTTAGGTCTTGCTCTCTACAGATCTACAAGAACAAATACAGCAAAAGATATGTTAAATCTGTTGACATCCTGTCCAATCCGACATAATGCTATGATCCCATTTTGAATGATATACATATGAACATTTTAGTATTAAACAAGCATATATGCTCTTTGAATGATACAATTATACTCTACAACAATTGTATTTATTTTTAGATTGTGTATTGAATTCTGTGTGCATTACCTGAATACACATTCCTTTTACTTATAATATTATTCAAGCAAACTCTATGAAATTCATTGTTTGAAATATCTGACCATTTCCTCTCGAAATATTACTATATATTTTGATGGACCAGAGATGCCAGATATTTTTTCAGACTGTGTAATTCACAACCAGTTAAATAAATACATTTCATCACCAGCAATGTCAAACCAGATGTTGTTGTTTTTTACATCACAGAAAATTGTTTGGCTCCTGGGTTTTCAAGGACATTTCCATTGAAAGGATAATAAGAGGTTTTGGTACCGATACATTTGGGTACTTCCCAAAACTTGTTTATATATTTTATGAGATTTTTGGCACTTGGACTCATGTTTTAACTGCAATTTTGTTGGCTTTTTGTGTCCTATGTTTGCAGATTTTATATTGTAAGATTCTTTATCTTTTTTCAATTTTTCGGTGGCAGTTTCTGAGCCCTTGAGGTGAAAATTACCAAATAATTGGAGAAGAGCAAAATTACAAAGCATTGTGCTTTATAATGTTTATCAACAATGTTTAATCCTTAATTTTAACTCGAAAGTCAGTTTGCAGTTTGTCACTTCCTGTACAATGACAACATATTCAATTGTTAGGAATCGACAACAAGAACCACGAGGCGCGGACAACTACGAAGTTTATTCAATGCTGCAATTTGATTGGACAATAATAGACAATTTATGGGTAATACTAAATGACTGCTTAGACATGCCTTAACGACTCGGACAGATATGTAATATACATACATGTATATATGTAACACAATAGATGGGCACAGAAACTTGTCACATACCTGCAGGGTAATGGTGCCGTTCATTGACGATGAGGCGGAACAAAAAATATTTAGTGTTTCTGGTAACCCTACCTACCCTAGTATTTTCATTGCCAATGAACGGCAGCATTACCCAGGTATGTGACAAGTTTCTGTGCCCATCTATTGAATAAATATAAAATTTCTATAAAATTTACAGAAAAACATTTGTAAGGATGCCATACTTTCTGGCGCCAAATTTAATACTTAAATGGAAATGAAGTAAGATAACATAAAAAGATCTTTAAATATTAGGAACAAAAAAGGATGTGTTTCAGACAGTCTAATACATAATCTTAAGCTTTTCGTTTAGTCTTTTTTGTCATTAGACTCATTAGATTTGTATGTGGTCGACACGATCGGCACATACAATGTAGCTATACACCTGCATGAAATTCTTCCGACATCCCAATTGTTTGCGATTCATGATCATTTTTAATCATTTTAAACATTTCAACAGATATTTATTACTTAAAAATATGTATTTATATTAGGGCGAACCGGATTTAGGGCAAACGACCCGGATCCAACAAAAATAAATAGTAATGGCAGAAAAGCGAACCTATTGGTGTTTTTTTTAGAAAAAATAGGGTTAATTTACAGTTTTTGCTTTTTTTTATCAACATTTTCGTAAAGTAAGTGTTTACTTTCACTTCATAAAAATGACAGTGTCAAAAATATTGCAGTTGCACATAATTTCAGGGCACAGAAACAGGTGAAGCACAGAAACAGGTGAAACAGGTGAAGCACAGAAACAGGTACATCTACTTGGAGTATATACACGAACTACTGCAGGGTATGGAAACTTCTAGAATTCCAGTGTTAATTGAAATGTTTGACCATGAAACAGAATGACATATTCTGTGTCAGCATTTCAAAATCAAATTTTCAAAATATTTGCTCTTTTCAGGCATTTTTCCAGTAAACTTAACCCAGAATACGTTGTACCTGCCTGTTGGGATAGTCCCGACTGTTGTTTTGATCTGCATGCCGGGGTGGTGTGACCTGTACTTTACTTCAACTTACCTAGAGATGAGTTATCACGTATAACAACAGAGTAAGTTGGCACTGTATAGCCTCTCTCTTAATTGGAAAACAATCGTTACTCTTAGAATGAATCCCTAATCAGTCTTTATCCTGGTTTTTCGTCTTGTGTTCACAAACTTGCACCATGTGTCATAAGCCGGAAACGAATAAGCATGCGGTAAAATTAAAAACGAAACAGTGTCAAAAATATCCGGAAAATCATCGGGGAAAGAACTTTTTTCTTTTTCTTTTTTTTTCATTTTCATGTGCAATATACATCGTCGTCAAATACGCAAATATCATAATCATCATTCATCAATCATCATCCTCACCATCATAAACAATAGCCTCATTACCAACACATCGCACAGACATGCATCATCATCATCATCATCATCATCATCATCATCATCATCATCATCGAAGCAATACCATTCAATATACTTCCTTTCATGTTCTATTCATCATCATGTCATTGTATCGTCATAATCATACAGAGAAAAAAATTCAAATCAACACTGGTCATTACCATAATACTCGCATCATGTACATGTGATCATCATCCTCACTGTTATTATCAAGAAAACAAGAACAAAAATATATACAAGGCATGATTTCATCACATCCTCATCAGCATCATTCATTACCGCATGTCATCCATACCTCATATCTCATCATTCCTGCACATTATATTTTGATCACCTTTCACATGTCACATGACTCTCACATCCTGACATCAAACACATAAAGTGGAGGGAGCAGTAACAAAACAAATAAACAATAAATTGTCTATTGTATACCTGTAGTGATAAGTAAGGTCAGATGTACATGTCTATTGTATACCTGTAGTGATAAGTAAGGTCAGATGTACATGTCTATTGTATACCTGTAGTGATAAATAAGGTCAGAGTTGCATGTCTATTGTATACCTGTAGTGTCAAATAAGGTCAGAATTACATGTCTATTGTATACCTGTAGTGTCAAATAAGGTCAGAATTACATGTCTATTGTATA